TTCCACCATCAGCATACAAAACACAATAAGAGGGCTTCCCTGGTGGCGCAGTGGTTGAGAGTCCGCCTGCCGATGCAGTGGACGCGGGTTCGTGCCCCGGTCCGGGAAGATCCCACATGCTGCGGAGCGGCTGGGCCCGTGAGCCATGGCCGCTGAGCCTGCGCGTCCGGAGCCTGTGCTCCGTGGCAGGAGAGGCCACGACAGTGAGAGGCCCATGTACCACACACACACAAAAAAAACAACCCACAATGAGACTCGGCGACATGGTGGAACCCCAGGAAGGAAGGAGCCTGGGTCCCTGAGCGAGGGTGTGGAAGAAAGTCACCACACTAGATTGACTACCCATCCAGGACTGATTTGTGAGGAAGAAATAAACTTGTGTTCAACTATTGACATTTGGGAAGTCTGTTGTCACAGCTTAGTCTCCATAACACACAAGGCCTGCACATTTATTGTATCAAATGGCTGGACCCCACTCACACAGATGCATTCATTGCCTGTGATAAAAAATGAGCTCAGCCTCTTCTGGACAACTGAGAGATAGTGGCTTATGATCCAGGAAAAATGGGCTAATGGAAATTAGACTCCACAGAGGAATAAAAGTCATCAGTGAGAATTGGGAGCATAGGTAATTAATCCTAAAAACAAACTCATGCCTTTAAAGAAGTTTTTTTCAAGTTTCGTTTTCCATTTTCTGTGAGGTCTGAGGATCATATTCTCTCTTTTTAACTAGAGTTAGTGGAGGAGGAAAACTTTTATTCAGCTGTACTTGGGGGAAACATTTGGGAAAAGGATTTTTTTAACCACTCAGGAATACTGGTAGATGGCCTCAGAGATCCTCTGACCGATGTCTTCCTTTTCAGACAAGAAGCCCAGACCCAGGACCTTGTCAGAGGCTACAGATGGCACCCTCGGGGCCAGCGGTCACCTCTCCTGGCTACCAAAGCCTGTACCTTTTACTGCAGGGGGGCTTCCATGAGGGCAAAGCAGAAAGCAATGCAGTCACACTGAAAAGCACAAGCTCTTCGAAATCAGACAAACTTGGGTTCACAACCTGTCCCACCATGCACCAGCTCTGTGACCCCGGGCAAGGTTCCTTTCTGAGCCTTGGGGCCTCTTTAGAAATTGGAGCTAAGGATTCCCACCATCGTTCGTTCACTGGGGTGTTCATTCAACATTTAAAGATGAATACTAATTGTTAGGCTCTGAGGCCAAAGTGGTGAACAGTGGGTGAACAAGACGGACGAGACCTCCGGTTTCATGGAGCCAGTGTCTGAGTAGCTTTGAGACGGTTGTGAAAAAATCTAGACAGTGCCTGCTGCATGTCGCCATTCATTAATGGCAGATCAGAAGAGTTGCTGCGGTTGTTACCATTCTTCCAGGACTCCCTCACCTGCCTGGTTGTTCCGGGTACTTCTGCTTGGTGTAGGCCTCGAGGGTGGCATAAACCTTCTCTCGCAGAGTCTCCACCTCAGAGGGGTTGGACAGACCCTTGGCATCTGAAAAAGACAGCTGATTCAACCTCTCCTTACACACCTCTGCGGAACACCCTTCTACAGAGTCTGTCCCCATTCACACAGGCCACCTCCCACAGAGTTACGAGAGACACGCTGGTTGGGAGACATCGTGAAATACACAAAGCCAGCCCTTTGTGCCCTCACACCTCCTTCCTGTGCCCAGTCCACCCAATAAACTCTTGGAGCAAAGGTACGCATGGCTGACCCCAAGGAAGAGAGTTTTCTTTTATCCGGGCCATTCTAGAAATACTACCTTCACATATATGTATAACTGACTCACTCTGTTATAAAGCAGAAACTAACACACCATTGTAAAGCAATTATACCCCAATAAAGATGTTAAAAAAATAAATAAATAAAAATAAAGTCAACTATTGTTAGTAAAAAAAAAAAAATACTACCTTCACACATTTATTGAGTGCTTACTATGTGCTAAGCATGGACTGAATAAAGAGATGGGGTACAAAAACCCAACAGACCCACATCCTGCATCAATTAACAGACCACCTAATTCAGGAGATGAAGCATGTGAGTCAATTACTATGTAATTCTGAATACCCATCTTTCTTGACCCACAGCAGCATCTGAAGAAGCTGATCACTTCCTCCTTCTTGAAATGCTTTTCCTCCCTGGGCCCCCCAGGACACTACTCTTTGGTTCTTCCCTGTCTCACTCACTGCCCCCTCTCAGGCTTCTTTGCTGGCTCTTCCTTTTCTCTGCAGCCTCTAAATATCACCATGCCCCAGGGCTTAGCCCTCAGCCCTCTGCTCTGCAATGCGTCTACCTTACTCTCGGTCTCAGAGCCTTGCATGCCTGGTCTAGGCTGATAGCTCTCAAATGTACATCTCTGGTCCTGCCTCTTCTCTGAACTCCAGACTCACATAAACAATTGCTTCCGGGAGAGCCACTCTTGGACGTTTACTATCCATCTCAGATTCTCATGTCCAAAGTCCTGATTCCTAGCCACCCACCCTTTGAACCGCCATTTCAGTAAATGAAATCTCTGTTTTTCCGAGTGTTCAAGAAAACAAAATGAAAAATTCTAAGAATTATATTTAATACCTCTCTTTCTTTCACACCCTATCAGCAGATCCCATTGGCTCTGCCTAAAAATATATGTAGAACCTGACCACTTTTTACCGCCTTCTTTGCTACTACCCTAGCCCTCTGGCATCTCTCGTCCTCCCCACTTGCCCCCAAACATGCACACTCCACGCCCATTTGAGACCCTTTTCAAGATTGCTCGAGGAGCAGGGGTCATGAAGAGTTGACTCCTTGTCCTCCCGAGGATAGGTCTCCCGGCCCTCCCTTATCTGTCTCTGCTGAGCTAGAAGACTAGAGAACATCAGAGCACTGGGGGCCGACCATGGAAGAGAGCTAAGCACGACGCACTCACCTGGGTTAAATAGCACGATGGCTCGTAGGCACCCCAGCTCCGACTTATCCATCTGCATGTCTTTCATTTTGGAGACCAGCTCAGTCAGAACTCTGTTCACAGGAAACAATGGCAGGTGATGAGAAAATCATGAATACCAGGCCAAGGGCTGATAAAGTGAATGCAACCAATATTTATTGTGTACCCACCCCATTTTTCAGTAGATGCGCCAGGTACTAGGGGCACAGAGATGAATATGATACAGTCCCTGATCTCAAAGAGCTCACAGTTTAATTAAAGAAACAGACACAGAAGCAATACGTAGCAGCAACACAAAGCCAATAACTGGCATGATCAAAGTCCCAGGGAACACCGAGGATGAGGCAGTGAACACAGAGAGGGAGCTGGAAAGGCAGCCTAGAGGATTTGGGAATTGGCAGAAGTGCAACGGGCAAAGGAGGGTGAGGGTATCGCAAGTCTGGAAGAACACCGCAAAGCATGGCGTTCTGTGACAGGGCAGAAATTTCTAGACACCGTCAAGAGGGCTGAGTCAACTGAAGACCATGATGGTCTCCATGTGGAACATGTTGTGGGAAAAGGCAGGGAAGGAGTAGGGACATCTTAGATGGACATGCGCATGGCCCTCGAAGACCATTTATGATGGGGTGAGGAAGGGACCACAGGGTCCTGGCATTGGACAGAGAGACATTTTCAATCTTACTCTTCCTTTCCCAGTTCTCCATCCTCTCACCTGCCCATTCATCTCTCATCTCTTAAAATCACCTGGCTTAATTTTCCTTTAGAACCATTTAAGGCACAGAATCCCAGACTGAGGCTGTCGCTCTTATCGCAGGATTCCCCAGAAAGCCTGGTGCAGAGACCAGCTCATCTTTCCCAGATTCCCAAAGTCAGCTCATCTTTCCCAGATTCCTAAAGTCAGATCCTAAACTCTCATTCCCATCCAGGCCCCCTTGGATAAGCAGTTCAAACTCCCCACTCCCACCTTACTAGGTAATGTCAATAATACAGTGTCTTCCCTGGAAACCTTTAGGGATAAAAGGGTCTTTCATCTGCCAGCAACTCTGTTGGCCTCTGACTGACTCCATCTCCTTGGATTACCATTTCTTTTAATCCCTTTCTCATTCTCCAGGTTTATGTTTTCATGTGCTGAATGGTCTCTGCTTCCAGCCAGTACAGCTGATTGGGCTGTCCATCCTACATCCCAGCACTACCCACAGGTACACACACACACATGCACACATGTATACACACACACATACAAGCGCCGGAAGCAGAATAGAGCCACCTGTCAAAGATGGAGCCAACCCCAGCACTGTGGGCACTGCTCCGGTGGACGTGTAAACCCGTGGCCAGAAGGATGCCATCCTGCACGGAAACCGAGCGGTGGGAAAAGGAGGCGATCAGCAATTCATTCCACCCTGCAAGAATAAGAAGGAGGCCTTGAGGGAAACCTGACCACACTCTTGCTTCATTGATAATCACCCAAGTCATGTATTACCATCCTTTGGAATAAAAGCAGAACCAGAAATCCAGGGAGGTCAAAAACTTGTTCCAGACGACACCACTAATTAGTGAGGGAACAAAGGGTAAGACTGGGGTCCCCTGACTTGTGGGTTTGCTCCTCCCCCGCAGTCTCCCCAATGCAGCCCAGAATGGCAGCTTGAGGGCAAGGACTCTTTTTTTCCCTCCAGTCCATCAACAAATATGGATTGAACACTTAACGGGTAACGGTCACTGTGTTAGCTGCCATGGTAGATAAAGCGAGTATACCCTGCAGTGTCTGCCCCCAGGACCTGACAAGCTAGTTTCACTTCTTAGGCGTTGTTTAGTAGCACCCAGCATGGCATGTAGCTTTCCATCGACACTCAGGGATCGCTCATTATCTAATAGGGATGAAATAAGTGGAGTGGCTCCTCAGACTCAGCGAATCTTCATGAAATGTCCCTGCTGGCTCCATGACAAAGAGGAGATTTGGCATATGTCAACTGCACAGTGTCCCAGAAATGGGAGGCTAGAGAGATTATAGAATCTTAAAATAGGAAGGAACCCTGGAATCTTTCTAGTAAAAGCCTGAGCAAAAATCTTTGGCTTCCCCTATTTCACCTGTGAAATGGGAATATCTCTATTTTCCAATTTCATAATAGTAATGAGGCACAGCTTCAGATTGTCTTGAATAACAATTGTTTAACTGTCTTTGAAAATTAAATGCAAATTACAAAGGCTGCATAAAATTTGCATGGAAAAAGAGCCTTTCTTGGTCACTAAAAGGATTCTAGGAAGCAGTTTAAGAGAACCAATGGACAGAAAAATCTCATTAAATAGAAAATTCTCACCTTCTTGTAAACCTGCCTTGTTTTTTTAATTATGTGTGTGTTTAAAAGTTATTTTTCTCTGATAATAAAATGCATATAGAAACTAATAAAAATTTCATTAAGTATAAAAAAGAAAATTTAATATTAAAAAAAAGAAAAAAAGTCTTACTCCTCCATTAACAGTGTTTCATTTGGAAATGAAAGTTTTGGGGGAGGGCCATCCAAATTTCAGAGCTTACCAATAATATAAAAAAGAACAACCTCGGATAGGGTTATCCTGTCTCAGCAAGGTGCACAGCTTGAATGGGTTACAGCTCCATCAGGTCACTTGTTTTAGGATCCCAAGGGTAATTTCAAAATGGCAACCCAAGAAGAAAGGAGCCCTGGTATCCCTTACCTGCCCGGAGCAGAATGACCTGGTCCTCCAAGGTGAGGTCAGAGAAGTGGGGAATACGCTTGGCCCATTCAACAAGAGTAAAGAGCTGCTTGTCAGCAGCATGGCATATGTTGGTGACAGGGTCATTTGTCTAAAAAAGGAACAAAGTACTCTGAACGGACAGGTTCTAGGACTCAAACATACTCCTTCCCCATCTCCAGCCCCCTCCAAGAAATGGGAGATGGATGGAGATCTAAGACCACCTACCGAATTCTCCATGTTCATGTCACCGTAGGATTCTGTCTTTGGTTCAACAGCAAGTTCAGCCTCCAGAATCCTCTCCACGGGCATATCTTCATGGCCACTACTGGCACATTCTGCCTCACTCTCAGCCCGCTCCCGGCTTCTCTGCCTTTCTTCTTGCACAGCTGGCAGGGACAAGGACGTGCAGACGTTACCATATGCCCAGGACAACTGTGGGAAAGTTAATTACATCCCTAAGCCTCATTTTCCTCCGCTGTAAAATGGGCATCATGGTGGTAATGAATCAGAGATGCTGTCATGTTAACAGATGAAACCAAGAAAGCAGAGCTGAGCTGTCTTCTTATGCCTGTGCCAAACTATGGGTTTTTTCAGCCCATGGTCTTTCCAGTGCATTATGGTGACCACTCTAAATGTGCCTTTTAAGCTTTAATAACCTCCAATTCTGCCCTTTCTTTTAATGAACCACTGTCTCCTTGCATGCTGTCTCCCCTATCCTTCCTCCACCTGCTACCTCTAATAAACCGGGAGCACGCAATAGTTAAGTAACAAGCACATTACTCTAAAAATTCCCTCTGTCAGATCCTGTGCATCATTCTTGGCATTCACGTCCCATTAGGTCTGCCCCTAGTGCACCGGCCTGAACACAGCATCACCTGATCTGACTTGTCAGGGAAGATCTTCAGGGAGCCATGTGGGTATTTAGTAAGCGAAAGGGTGGAATAATGTCACCTGGATGACATTTCAGAATCAGCAGCTGATTTGGGGGGTGGGGAAGGGTACACAGGCAAAGGTGGAGGCTGGAATTTTCTCAGATTCCCCAAGTTTGGGGTTTTCATCAAAGAACCCTCTGGGTCTGTACATTAGAATGTCAGGCAGACCCCTTTCCCAATTCTGTGCTCTTCACTGGGAGAATAGTCTCTATGGGGTTAGTTTCCATCCTCTCGAAAGCTTCACTTTCCATCTTCTTATTCCCAGTAGCAATAAGCAGAATTCAATATTGGCACACATTTTCTAAACCCCAAGAATCGAGAAAATTATACTCTAAGCAGTGGCCAAGAGGGACCTCAGTGACAGCTATTCCATAAGCAACTTCTAGGCCTCATCTCCTCTCCTTTCCTCCCCTTTGTCCACTTTCCAAGGCACCTCCTACCCTCTGAGCCACAAGGCTGCGGAATGAACTGGGACTGGATGCTGGACATTTAGTTTGTCACACAAGTGATATTATTGATCTCTCAAAGTAGGTCAGAGAAGGGTCTGACAGCACAAATACGGCTGATACATCACCGTCTCTAATAGAGACACGCCAAGAAACCTCAAAATGAGAATGATATTCAGGGGTTGAGAGGGAGGGAGGGTAGGAAGGAAGGAGTGAAGGAAGAAAGGAAAGAGAGATTAAAACAGGAGAGTAAGAAAAGGAAGAAATGGACGAGAAAGAGAGCAGAGAGGACAAAATACGAGGAGAGCAAAAACCATGTACCTTTTGGAGTCAAAGAAAAATCTGTTTCAAAATGGGCCCGACCACTTCCTAGCTAGTAACGTCGGACGTGGTACTCAGCTTACAAAGCCTCAGTTTCCTTATATGTACAGTGGGGATTATAGTACTTACCTGAGATTGTTTTATGAAGATTAAACGAAACAATTATTTTAAAGATTTTTGAAAAGTAGCATTTCCCCTCCCCTTGGCCTCTCTTTACACTCTCGGGCTCTGCTCTGGTCCTCTCTCTATCCCCGCTCTTGGCCTCTTCCTCCCTCTCCCTGTTTCTCTTTTCCCCTCATCCTTTCTTTCTGCCCATTCTGTTAGCCTTCATTCACTGACAACATACAGAAACTCTCATATGTGTTTTTATCATCAGTTGGATTTGCTGGCTAAAGTTGAATGCTTCTTGTATTAATTTTTTTTAAAGGTAGGTTAATGGGCATCTATTTGTCTTGATTTGAAAAGATGGGAGAAAGCAAACCAAGTTCCTCTTGTGGCCCTCAATTGATTTCTTCTACAGATTTGTAGCACTTAAGGAAAATAACCTTCAAGCTCCAAAGAAAATAACCTTGGCTTCAGGGAATTAGATTCTAATTCCAATTTTGCAATTAACTGAGTGATCCTTTGCTATTCAGTTCTCCTTTTAGTGACATAAATCTTACTGTCATCAATGAGGAGTCATGTATCTGTTGTTGAAGCAAATCTTCCATGGCACGTTTTGAGCTACTGCTACTCAAGAACATCAGGGTACATTGAGGGGCCAGTGGGACCTAAAACAGGATTTTCCATTAGTCCAACATACATTTATTGTGATGTATTAAAATAGCCAAAATTTATGGAGCCCTTTCTCTGTGTCAGAATTATGCTCAACACTTTTCATAATTAACCCCCACAAGAACCCTCTGAAATGCTATGAACCACAGAGAAGTTAGGTAACCTGCCTGAGGTCACAGAGCTAGAAAGTGGTGAAGCCAGCATGTAGACGCAAGGCTGGCTGCCTCCTGAGCTTACCCCTGACTCCAAGGCTCTGGGCTGGTTGGATTAATAGACCCACAGGAATGTCAAGTGCTGACCACAAATTGCCTCAAAAATAATCCATTCTCTTACTACCCATACCACATTATATGACCCAAAATTATGGAAATAGACTTCCCCAGAACCCCTGAGGATCGTTTGGTGGCCTGGAAGTCAGAGGGTCCCAGTCCTACACCCACTCTGCCATTAGCTTGCCATGTAAGCTTAGGCAAGACCCCTAGCCTCTCAGAACCTCTGCTTCTTCTTTCAGGAAATGACTGTGTTACATCAGACAATAGCAAATGTCCACTCCAGCTTCACCATTATGTACCCTGGCTTTAGGCAGGTGAATTCTGAGCCCACCCCAATTTCATCTCTTTCTGTCTGTCCAACTCTCTAGGAATGTAAATTCCATAGTATCACTCAGTTATCTGTTCCAGGATTTTATTAGTCTTGTCCTCAAGAAAGTGTCTGAACTGAGCCCCAAATTCTGTAAATGAAGGCCAGAAATGACAGTGGCAAAGGAAAGGCTGTCCAGTAACTTTTTAAAAGTGACCCTCCGTATAGTGAGATGAGGAACTGATTCGCTTCTTTGACTTCTTTTTCAGGGTGAATAGTATCAATTCCTTTAGCAATTTCTCAGAGAGCCCCTTTCCCCCTCCTAATCTTTATTCCTCAGCTTTTCATCACTCCTGTTGCTCCACATTATTATATTTTTTTAATGCAGGAACCAAAACTGGACCCTACATGCTATGAAAGAATCATAAATAATACAAGGTTTAAAAGAAGCACTGCCCAGGGCTTCCCTGGTGGCGCAGTGGTTGAGAGCCCGCCTGCCGATGCAGAGGACACGGGTTCGTGCCCCGGTCCGAGAGGATCCCACATGCCGCGGAGCGGCTGGGCCCGTGAGCCATGGCCGTTGAGCTTGCGCATCCGGAGCCTGTGCTCCGCAACGGGAGAGGCCACAACAGTGAGAGGCCCGCGTACCGCAAAAAAAAAAAAAAGCAGCATTGCCCAGGCTCTTACAATCCACATGTCCCTGTTTGCCTTAAAGAACCACGCTTCCCATCATTTGCTCTGTGAACCACTCTGACCCTAATTGAGCCAGAAATATTCAGGTTGAGTTTTGTTTTTTGTTTTTTTTTTTGCGGTACGCGGGCCTCTCACTGTTGGGGCCTCTCCCGTTGCGGAGCACAGGCTCCGGACGCGCAAGCTCAGCGGCCATGGCTCACGGGCCCAGCCGCCCCGCGGCATGTGGGATCTTCCCAGACTGGGGCACGAACCCGTGTCCCCTGCATCGGCAGGCAGACTCTCAATCACTGTACCACCAGGGAAGCCCTCAGGTTGAGTTTTGAGAGTCAGAATTAGACTGTGAGGCAGGAGAATCGAGTATAGGTGATTCGCAATCTGCAGCAATCATGCTCTATGCTGTTGAGAGACACACTTTGGGGGCATTAATTTTGTTTTGACTATCACAGTGGTGGAAGCTACAAAGAGTATCAATTCTATCCCAGTGAAGAGGAGACAGTCTCCACCAGCTGATTTTTCACATCACATGCTCCAGTCTAGAAAACTGTTGACCCCTCTACAGCAAGCATGACACAAGCATGAAGCAGTCACTCAAGTCATACTTGATGAATCAATGACTGAGTGAACGAATCATTTTTAGAAGCTTCTGCATTACTAAAACTTATGATTCCGATATTTAGTTTAAATCACTCATCCATTCTCTCGACAATTTTTTCTTAAATGTCTACTATGTGCTAGTCACTGGTGATATAGCCGTGGGGGGACAAAAGGCAGGAAAAATATCCCTGCGTTCTTGGAGACAGACAGCAGACAAAAGTTTAAAGTACGTTAGATAGTGGTAAGTGCTGTGGGAAAGAGACTGGGAAGTATGAGGGTGTTTGGGGCAATCTGGGACAGTGTAGACAGGCGAAGCTTTATCAAGAAGTTGACAATCAGGTAAAGGTATGAAGGAGGAGAAGTGAGTCATGCAGGTACCTGGGAAGAGGGCAGTTCAAGCAGACAGAACAGTAAGTGCAAAGGCTCTAAAGTGGGAGCACCACTGATGGCCCAGCAAAGAGACTAGGAAGGCTGGAGCAGAGAGACGTGGGGCAGCCAGACTATGTATGACCTTGAAGTCATGACCAGCATTTTGCCTTTTTTTCTGAGTAAGAAGGGAAGGCATCAGAGGGTTTTGGTGAAGGAAAGGCTTCACCTGACCCACTTGTTCAAAGCCTTACTCAGGTTGCTTTGATAAGGAGAGACCGAAGGAAGATAAAGACGGAAGCAGAGAAACTTCTTGGGAGGCTATTTGTATTATTACAAAGAAGAATGGTGGCTTGGTGATAACAGTAAAAATAGTGAGACATGGAAAGATTCTGAACATCTTTTGAGAAAGAGAGAAGATTTCCTCACCCATTGAATGTGGTGTATGAAAGAAAAAGAGGTGTCCAATGGCTTTTGGTCTGAGCAACTGAAAAATGGCTATTTCCTAAAATGGGGAGGACCGTGTGATGAACAGGTTAGGAGGACAGATTTGGGGGTCTGTCAATTTGAGATTCTGATCTGGGAGTAAGCAGTCCTAGTCTCTGTTCATCATCTACCTTGGGGACCTTGGAAAACTCACTCCATCAGTCCAAGCCTGTTTCCTTGGCTGTAGAATGGTTAGGGTTATTAAGTTATTCTCAAGGGCCACCTCCATCTCAAACATGCTAGGAATATCATTTTTTTTTTCCCCCTTCTTGGTAGCATTCTCTCTTAGAAGGGGCTCAAACTTTTTCTTCATTGGTCCTTTCAGTCAGACTCCCCCCTCCTCACAGAAAAGAAGTTCTTCAAGAATAAGAAGCCACCTGGGAGTGACTAAATGCCTTGCTCCCATTTCCTAGAGAGAGAGGCAGGACCTCCTTACTCTGAAATCTATTAAGATTCACCATTTACACCCTGTACTTGCTTGAGTTCACTAGCTAATTAACTGCCCAATTCAGGTTATTTGTATTACTTAACAGAAAGAGTTTTTGATCTGTACATAAACAGAAAGCGCTTTCAGATTTTTTTTTTCCTACAACAACCCAGCTAACCCACACTGTAAGTTTGAAAGATGTAACATTTAAAAATGCATGATGATGATCTCTCTGAATGAGAAGGCAAAGTCTGATTATTTGGTAATGCCAATAATCCCCAAAGACTTTGGAATACACCAATCTCAGAGGATTTGTAGCAGACCAAGGTTATAAAAGCCCAGAGAGATTAATCAAACCAGCAGGCTTCCTCAGAGTGAGGATTAAAGGGGAGAAGTCAGCTCTGCCCAGAAGGTCAGTCTGATGTCCCATTACAGGGCAGCACACAGCGACCCCGAGACCTCAGTTCTGATGCTGCCTGGATATTGGAAGAGCAAGGGAGAGGGTCCAGTTTGGACCATCATCTGAGGTCCAGGAGAGTATAGGTGAACATGGAGGAGGAAGATGCTCTTGCTATCTTTGCTCGGGGGTACACACTTACCAGGGCAGGAAGCATTCAACTGAAATACTCGAGAAATCATGGTACCCAAAGTCATTCCCCCCCTCCGCTTCAAACTTCTTCCACATAGTCCAGCCTAGCAGGACTCTTTCCTATGTCCTGCACCTGTTTCCATCATTTATATGCAAACTGCTCTCCCCCGAGTGGAGGGAGGGGTGGCGGGGAACCTCACCTTCCCTCTTCATGCCCATGACAAGGCACTTCTGATAGCGACAGTACTGGCAGCGGTTGCGCTGACGCTTGTCAATGAGGCAGTCTTTATTATCCCGACACGTGTAGATGAGGTCTTTCCTTATGGTTCTCTTGAAGAACCCTTTGCAGCCTTCACAACTGTACACACCGTAGTGCTTTCCTGGTCACAAGAAAAGGACATTCCATAAGTTATTCTTGTCTTTATTTGGGTCTTTCATGCAAAAGAACCCCTTGGCTCTCGCCTAGGGAAACTGGCACATCACCTAGGCAATGGGACAGAAAACAAAGCAGGGAATGCAGGCTTGATGACAGGAACCAAACCAAGGCAGAGTAAATACGCCCTTCCTCGTGTCTACCCTCTGGAAGCGATTCTCTGGAATCACTAATTCCAGAGAGCATTATTAGAAAAGTCCTGACCTAAGATTTTGCTTACATTTATTTAACAGGGCAACTCTTATGTTTAGTTAAGCAAAATGTTCTGCCTTCATTTAAGACGTTAGTATACATAAGAAATAAAAATATTTATGCTTGTTACGTGTTATCTAGCAGGAAAAGGACCTCAGCTTCACACATATTTCCCCATAATCGAAGCCCAAGGACTTAGGAATCTCACTTAAAAGCATTATCCTCTATCATAAACTATAAACAAGAACCTGAGTTATAAATTTTTTATATACTACTGCCTATTGGAGGAATAAATTGGCATATGATCTTTATGGCATAATATGACATATAATCTTGAGATGTGACATAAAGATCTGATGGAAGGTAGTTTTGCTTGATCCAGAATAATCTGTTACATGTTTCATTGCCCCTATTACCTGTTCCACACATCCAGTTTTCCAGGACTCCAGCCAGAGATGGCTAATTTGGTCAGGAGAGCCACCATACCCATGCCCACATAGGCATCAAGAATCAATCACCATACTCTTTCTAAGTAGAAGTCTTCCCAATACTACACACCATGCAGGTATGCTCAATGGACTGGAATTGTGGGACTTGAAAAATATAATGAAACAGATCATTCAAAACATATTTATGTCTGATTCTTGAGTATGACATGTGATACTGTTTAGTTATAGACCTGACATGACTTTAATTTGGTTGTATTTAGGCTGATGTCGAAGTGAACTTGAAGTCCCTGAGAACTAGCCAGTGTAAATATCTGCATCCCAGGAGCTTACATTTCAGAGGAAGCCACTCTAAGATGCAATGGTGGCTAGAGATAGCCTGCTTGATGAAGTTAGTCTGTGCCTAATCAGTTGACTATACTAATTTCCTGAACTCATAGCAATAATAAATAAGGGATTTTATCTTGGGCTCAAAGAACCTAATGCTCTCAGCTCTGAGGTATTTGTCTTTAAGAAACATGGGACCAATTTGTCATTCCCGTGGTTCTTCCATATATGAAAGAACTGCCCAACTTTCAATTAAACCATAGCAGAAAAAACTCTCTATCAGGGTGGCTGGAATTAAGTTGCTATGGCAATGGTCAAGTCTGCATGATTTGGAAACAACCCTTTTTTGAGAACAAGCGAACATCAGCTGTGTAGCTAAGTTCCAGGCACCTGGAACTTTCAGTGGAGTCACATTTTGCAGTGACTTTGGTGACAATAAAAAGATGAGAAAATATTGTCAGCCGTCATAGACGACTATAGAAAAGAATCTTCCTCATTCATCAAATCAGAGATTCAAATGTCATCAAAATTGTTGAGATGGGGAGTGGGGAGGCAGGAATGATGGAGAGGTAGAGAAACAAGTCAGGAAAGAAATAATTTGGGCAGAAATGGAAGAGGATCAAAGAAGATAAAATCAGTGAAGACACACTTATTTCCACCTATGGAAACATGTTAAAAACCTAGAATGTTGTAGAAGGAAATTCGCTAATAGATCAAAGGGTTTATTTTGTAAGGAACACTATAGATAACTCTTTGTTTTCACTGGTACTTTTCTGGTTCTCCCACATTTCCTATGTTGGAATATTATTTTTAGAATTATAAAAAAGTATTTTTTTAAAAATTAAAGAGACTCTAGCTTGAGATACTTGCTCATTACAACAGCTTCTCTGTCCCAGATACACACGCAACACAGTAACTACAGGGAAGGGCTTCTGAAATGTTTCCTATAAATCTAATCTTACCACATGAAATTATGCTTTAAATTCATTAAGGCTGTGGTGACAGAAATTTACAGCCTGGGCCCCAAGCTGGACCATCCTCAAAGACCCTTTTTCTCTCGTTGGGTACAAAGGAGCCAAGTGGGCAATGGAAGAGGTGTCTTCTCTGGTATCCCCATTGCATGGGGCACTTGGGAGGAGTGTCTGCTTCTGTACATACCTGAGGATCTGTCCCCACAGATGGCACAGATGTGTTTAACCAGAGATCCAGGGCTAGTGGATGGGTAGTTCATGTTTCCAATGCCAGGAAGCCCTGGTAAGGGTTTGATGTCCTCTGAAATGCTGACACTGTTGACCACATTTAGCTGCAAGAGAAAAAAATACAATAAAACACAGAGCCAGGGTAAACACAATCCCTGAGGCAGAAAGCAATAAGGCCATCCTTGAGGGAAAAAAAGTGGGTTCTATTTCGAGAAGTCGTTTCCAAGTACAGAGTATCTAAAATTGCCTATGAGGGATGTGAATTTAAGGGAGAAAAAGAGGAGCATAGAGGAACTAAGTCATTTCTAAATGCCAAAACCTAAACCGAAAATCACAACTCATCTACAACAGAACTCTCAGCTTTTACTCATTTTACTCATGTTTTATTTGAGCTAGAAATCCATGCTGAACAGCACACTTAGGACAAGTCCTCTGTGTATTTTTTAATTTTTTTATTAACTACATCCTGCCTATTCAGCAGTACTCCAAGGGGAGCTATGGCCCTCAGGCAAAAGACTTAGACTAGGGGAGAACCAAGCAAAATATGCAAATCCATCCATTTAGTGAATCAACAGTCATTCACAAGCACTCACCATGTCAGGCACTGTGCCAGCCTCTGGGATACAAAGGTAAATAAAATGCACACTCTTAAGACGTTCACAGTAACATGGAAGACACGATATGTGTAGTGGTCATCTCAACAAGCCTACTGAGGATGGTAAGCCAAATGCCCAAATCATTGCAATAGCACCAAAAATTAGGTTAAAAGTCCCAGATCATGTTTTTGAACTTGTCTCTAAGGAACAAATATCTTCCCATGAAAATATAAAATCTTTAGAGCCAGAGACCATCTGCCTTGTCTTCCGGGTGCCTGACGTGAACCCAGCATGTGGTAGGGAGTTGGTAGAACTCAATGGCTGGATAAACGAACGTGTGTGTATCCCTTTCTTCACCCCTTATCACAAGTTAACATTAACTCCTCACCGCCACCCCCTCCTTGTCTCCTGGTGCTCTCAGGGAGATGACTGAGAAGCTGCCTCTACGTGTCTTGTATTCATCAAAGAAAAGTTAAATAAATACAAGCCAGTCATCCAATCATCAGTGTTTCTGTACCCATGGGTACAGGTCAACATTCTAGGCACTGTGAAGGGAGATATGAAACGGAGGTCTGTGTTTCATTCCTCAAAAATGATGAAAGTCTCACTGAGGAGTCGGAACGTGCCCCCAAACAAAGAACACTTCCAAGTAAGTTCAAACAAAGGTGGTGCTGAGTAAATGTGAGTTAAGTGCCCGGTAGAGGCACCCGGTGAATATCTGGGGGTTTAAGGGAAGGTCCACTGACTTCTGCATGGTCTATGTGACTTTTGCCTATAACTGAAGTGACTGTAATTCCCAAACTGAACCAAAGGTAGGATTTTCTTCTCTATTCAGGGCCTTTGGGACAGAAGGAATGATCAATAAAACCTAAAATACAACAGAGGGCTTCCCTGGTGGCACAGTGGTTGAGAGTCCGCCTGCCGATGCAGGGGACACGGGTTCGTGCCCCGGTCCGGGAGGATCCCACATGCCGCAGAGCGGCTGGGCCCGTGAGCCATGGCCGCTGAACCTGCGCGTCCGGAGCCTGTGCTCCGCAACGGGAGAGGCCACAGCAGTGAGAGGCCCGCGTACCGCAAAAGAAAAAAGAAAATACAACAGAGCCTGAGTTAGGTTCCTTCTAAATTTACTAGCTTTTCAATTCACTAAGCAAATATTTATTGAGCATAGGAGGTGAGCAAAGGCTCTGGGTTAAATGCTGCAAGGGATGCAAAAAAGAAAAGACAGCTTTCAGGGCCTTGCTTTCAAATCAAAGTCACCAGGAACTTTTAAAAACTCATTCATGTGAGGGATGAAAACACGTCCATGGTGGGAGAATTCTCCCTCCTCTTCCTCTTTCTCCTCCCCCCTCCCCCTGCTCCCTCCTTTTTATACATGGCTAAGACAAGACATCTAGGTCTTATGTTCCGTATTTTGTTTCGTTTTGGTGTAATACAGTGGTACTCAACCCCAGAAGTACACCTGGGAGATTTGGAAAAAATTAATTCCAGAGCCCCACACCCAAAAGTGGCCTGACGGCCAGTATGGGCTAGGAATTCTGAGTGCCTCAGGAAATAGTTATTAGCACTTAGTTCCACCCCATGAAAGAGATGATCCCCCAAAAAAGAGCCCTCTAGCTAACCATGACTTTGTCTGCAAATCCTCAGATGGATAAGAAAGGTCATGGGAATAAGGAGGAGGACGCCGTCACCTCGGGCTCAGGAGGCCCTCACCCACCTTCCTCTCCCACTCCCATCTCCAACAGGACCAGATCCACCACCTCCAGCCCACAACAATCACAGAACAGTAATTATTGTTCTTGCTACTGTTAGTGCTACCGTCCAAGGAAAGTTTGCTCAGCGCTAATTAACTGTTTTAATCCTTACGACAACCCTATGAGGTTTTCCTATTTTTCAGATGAGGAAATTGAGCTGTAAAGTGGTTTATTCTTAAGTTCATTCAGAAATCCTGGGATACAAAAAGGAAGAAGACACAGGCACTAACCCAAGAAACTGACCATCCATGAGATTAAAGGCCGGTTGGGATAATTTAAGAAAGCAAGTGAGATTAGGGAAGATGTCCTGAAGGAAGGAGCAATTCGATCTGGGACTTGACAGCTTTAAAAAACGGGGAGCACGGGGAGATCAGCTCGGTGCTTTGTGACCACCTGGCGGAGTGGGATGGGGAGGGAGGGAGGGAGACACAAGAGGGAAGAGATATGGGAACATGTGTATATGTATAACTGATTCACTTTGTTATAAAGCAGAAACTAACACACCACTGTAAAGCAATTATACTCCAATAAAGATGTTATAAGAGTTAAAAAACGGGTAGGATTTGGATGGGCCAGTGATGGACAAAAGGTTTTGACAACAAAGGCCTGAAGGAAGCCCAGGTATTTGTGTCCGGTGGATGGATGGGAGACAAGGCTGGAAGGTGGGATATACTTGATTGCCCGGCTAAGGAGAGTGGATCTAACCTGAGAGGCAATGAGGAGCCGTGAGGTTTCCAGCAGAGAAAAAAGGTCCTCAAAGTATGAGGCAGCAGCATGGGGAAAGACTGAAGGAGAGAGACACCAAGACTATTGCACCTGCCCAGGTACCATGTTAGGTGACTTCCCAGATCTAACAGGTGGGAGCTGGAACCCCGGGCTCCTGGGTCTCAGGTCATCATTCCTCCTTCCCCACATTGTCTGTCTTGTGTGGCAGGAGCTCCCCAGACCGCCCTGTCCTGACTGCTTCCTGCCCCACCTCATTGGCAATGAGCACCCAGAGGAACCAACTTGCTTCTGGCCATTCTCTCCTGGAAGCCTCTCTCCAGCACCCCTCCTCTTCCTGGGTTGGGCTGGCATTAGGAGGCAGTGGCTGGGACAGGTGGGTTGATGCCCTCGTCTCCATCAGCCTCTTTGCTGGCTTGGGGTTTGTGTGGGATCAGAGCAATGGTAGATGAGACCGAAGGTGGCCACCAGGGCTCAAACCCATTAGCTGCATGGTCCCCGGTGCCACGGCCCCTGCTGTCTTGTTCCATTAGAAGCAGCTCTGCTGAAGTGAGCACTTTAGAGCCGGGATTTACCAGGCAGCCTGCTGCTCCTGAGAGAAACACACTTGGCTGGCCTGTCTTACATTTGTAGTCCTCTCAGCCAAGGACTGAATGCATCCTAGATGCCCTGGAGCCATCACAGAACATTGGGAGCCACATTTCTGAGCGGCTTTCAGCCCAAATTATTCCACTCAAGGCAGATACGTGGCCAGCCAGGCAGGCTGCAGGCAGGCGTGCCTCTTCCAATGAGTGGTCTCCTTAGAGTGGCATTTCTTTAACAGAGTGAGGGTCTTTGTCAAAAAAAGTACAGAGCCTGGACCTGACACTTCCTTGCTGTGTGATCTTGACTGGATGACTTCATTTAGAGAAGCTGTTTCCTCATCCACAGACTACAGCAGTGGTTTTTGAGCTCAGAGAGTGTGTATGGCAGGGGGTGGCGAGGTTGAGTAAGAAGCCTTCACATCTCCCACCTCTAGTTCACCAGACCTGTTTTTATTTGACATGTAATGGCTTCCAAACATACTTTCACTTGAAGGAAAGACTATGGCTTTTTAAAAAATCATTAAACAAGATGATCTTTAAGGTCTGTTCTAGCTCTAACATTTGCAATTTTTATTATCAAAGTATTCTCTGTAAAAATGCAAGCATCTGAAAGGATAATAATTTGGTTATCAAGCACTACCTGGGCAGGAATTATCAGGGACGGAACCCAGGTCAGGCAGCTGGGTCAGGAGAGGAGAAAGAGGCGGGAGCCTTCCAAAGGTAGGGCCTGCTTCGGGGTCGAGCCAACAGATATCATACTTACAAAAATGCAGCACTAAACACACACACAGACACACACACAGACACACACACACACACTCAGAAAAACGTGATCTAGATCATTCTGTCTGAAATCTGCATAAATATCTTCTCAATTACATATTTGGTGTTTTGGGAAATTGTTCACTCCACTTAGATACTCCCCAGGGAAGGGACTGAGTCTTAAACATTTTTTAGATCTCCAGTGCTTAGTGCAATGAATGATTGTTGAAATGAACTTCTCTAGAACCTTTCAACAACAAAGTACACATACCTGAACCAATGATCACACAGTTGCATAATATATATCACCTAGGTGTATGATATAGCACCTAGGTATAATAATAATAATATTAATAATACCACCTTATTGCCATAGAGTATCATAAGTGCTTAAGCAGTGATTTTTCAAATCCACATCTCCTTTGATATTCATAAAAAATCCCTGTAGGGTAATCAGGGCAAAATGTGTTACCCCAACAATAGAGGAAAGGGAACTGAGATAAATATAAGTGAAAGTGGTTTGCAAAAGTTTACCCAGTCCCTGCCTCCAGAGTATCAGTTCATTTCTCTTTATTCCTCAAGACTGAAAATCCAACAAGAGTAAAAAAAAAAAAAGGAAGCTCAAACACCGGGAAGACAGAGCACAGAATGAGACACCCCCCCTGCTGCCCCCACACTGAGCGCTTCCCTCCACCCTCAAATTGCACTTACCCTAGACCCAGGTCACACAAGGCTCATGTTTCCCGGACAAGTCCCACTCAGCCTCAATCCTGGGCAAGAAAGGCAGGATGCATAGGAATCGTCTATCCAGACTGTCCAGAGTCCAGCTCACCATGGCTAACACTAAGAGCACTAGATATCATGTGTTATCTAGTTAATTGGGCAAAGTGTCACTGCCGTGTGGCTCCAGAACTCAAGCCCCAACGCTGCTCAGCTTCACCAGTGCTGGCAAGCTTAATATAGCTCCCAAAGCCAAACTTGGCCTTGGCCTCTACACACAGCCCAGTTGGCCAGGACCAAAGCTTTCAGCTGACCTTTCAACCCCAATCCCTCTGTACAGACATATGGTCCAGGAATAGCGGCCCTGCCACTCACATGGCTGTGAAGCTGAATTTATTGGCCAGGTTTGGCTCAATTAGACTGGAGTGTGGTGGCTAAAAGCAGGCTTGGAGGGCCGGTGCCCTGCCCCTTCCCCACCCACAAGCCCTGACACTGGTCATTACCTCACCCTGTCTTATTTCTTCCTGATACAATGATTGCCATTTGAAACTACCTGGTTTATTCATTTCGGTTTTGTCTGTCTTGCCTGCTACAGTGTAATTGCCATGAAAGTACAGGCTTATTTAGTGCTTTGCCCCAGAACCTAGGACGGTATCAAATAGTGCCTGATACGGAGTAGATCCTGCTAAATAGTTATTTGAATGAATGTGAATGTCCTTTGCAAAATTTCACTTTTGTCCCAGAACTTCCACCTCTCTTTCTGTCTCTAACCTATTGACTTTGACCTGCCTTCCTGGCATCTGTTCATATGAATGAAATGAATAAACCAATCTCTTCAAGTCCCACATTCTAAAGGGTATGGTAACACGAGCTCTGCCAATGACAGTGGGTGAGGGTGGCATAAACCCATGTCCCTCCCCACCACTGTCTGGTCCCCACTCACCCGAGTGGTTGACATCTGGAACACACAACCGGAAGTTCACAGGGCCCTTTTCTATGCTCCCTTCGGTTCTGCCCCTACACCTTCGACAGCACGTACAACGTGGCAATTTATCTGCATGATGTGGCATGTCCCCCACAAGACTCCTTGGGAGCACCGATTTATTCATCTTTTAATCCTTGGCAGCCAACAGGAAGATCCTGGGGTCACTGGTTAAGTCAGAACACACCACAGCAGTGGGCAAACGCAGCATCATAAAGATTGAGTGGGGATGTGGAGATTTGGGGTGTAACCCTGGCTCTGCTGTGACTGGTTGTGTGGGGTTGGACATATCACCTGAGCCCACTGAGCCTATGTGGGCTGAAGGACTTAGAAGTAGTGGTTCTCAGCTGGGCAGGGGTGGGGCAGTTAGAATTCTCTGCGGGAGTTTTACAACCCACACAAGGGCCAAAATATGGGATAAGGGAGAAATGTGTACTCTGAAAAAGATCCTACAGGTGAGAGCCATTAGATTACAAATTGGGGTTCAAAGGGATGGCCAAATGGGACCCACAGAAGTACTCTGCTTGGCCGGTGGAGTACTTAAAGTCTTTGAATTTGAACGGCTTCAGGGTATGAGGGCAGCTTTGTACAGACCGCACTAGGCTCATTCACCTACCTGGGTTACCTGCCTGGTCCCTGGCTCCTGCAATCCCTACACTAGATGATTGCTAAGGTCTTCTCCAGATTCTCTAATCCAAAGATGAAAAAATTACTGAAGTCCTTACCGGCTGTAAAATTCTATGACTCCACATGGCTTTGCTTTCAGACTCTGAGCACATGAAATGTCTTGGAAGGGACTCTAGGGATAGTCTCTGAAGTTCTCTTTGTAGCAGTAAGAAATGCTAACACAGTGGGAGTCCTGCCTCTTCTTAGAACTATAAATTCAAAGGAGGCTACAGGACCTACTAATTCTGCTGCTAGATGTCTTGAGGGACCCTGGCCCAATAGTGAGATACCAGAATAGTGAGAGAGGAGAGTCTGGTAGATAAGATCATTGTTCCTAATTCTTCATATCCTTTGCATTGTGTCTTTGTAGTTCCTCCCAATGAAACAGGCACAAACTATTCCCCTGTCTCACCACGGTTGGAGTTGGTCACACAATTTTCTTAGGCCAATGGGATATTAATGGACATGATGTGAGCAGAGACTTCACTGTATTTTCCTGATTTGGTTTAGACTTTCGCATTCCTGGGAGATACCTTGAGAAAAGCATGCCCCAAGAAGCTGCCGCTTCTTCAGTCTGGGACATGAGGAGCTGACCTGCACCCAGGCTGCAGCCTAGCCCAGCTCACCCACCATCTGAAACAGAACCTTCCTAGCCAACACATAAACTTGTGAGTAAGAAAAAAATGTGTGTTTTTGTAAACCGTGGCAATATGGGGATTGTTTGTCATGCAGCATCATTACAGCAATAGCTGACCACTACAAGAAGGGAAGGTTGATAATCTCAGTGTGACATTGCTAGAAGGAAGTACACAGCATCTGGCCATCCTGTAGCTTCCTCAGAGCAACAATGTAGTATCTACCATGGATATACATCCTTGCCTCTGTTGTAGCAAAAGGCACTAGGAATTAAAGTGAGGGTTGTTTTTTTTCCCCCGAGTCTCCATAATCTTTACCTCTATCTCAGAGATACCATGTAGGTAACACAGTCTGCCTTGCTCTAGATTTATCCATGTGCCACATCTGCCTATTTGCCCTCTCAACTGTAAGCTCCTGGAGAGCAAAGACCACATCCTGATCATTTCGGTATCCCCTATAGCAGGGGTCCTCATCCGGTGCGGCCCCAGACTGGTACCGGTCCACTGCCTGTTAGGAACCTGGCCGCACATCAGGAGGTGAGCGGTGGGCGAGTGAGTGAAGCTTCATCTGCCGCTCCCCACCGCTCGCATTACCGCTGAACCATCCCCCCGTTCCCCACCCCTCCCACCCCCGATCCGTGTAAAAATTGTCTTCCATGAAACCTGTCCCTAGTGCCAAAAATGTTGGGGACTGCTGCCCTATAGCATGTCATAGAGCACTGGGCACTTCACTGACTCGAAAAATACCCAGTATTGAGAAGAATCAAGGGGGTCCACCCCATGGAAGACAAACAGGCCTGAGAGACACTGAAATCACAGCCAGGGCTGAACCATTGAAACCACAGGGGTGGCTCCCTTTCAGCCACAGTCTTCTGGACCATGAGGCATCATCAGTTCTCTGGGGCTGCTCTGCCTGAGGGCACACTCAATGAAGGCCCTTCAGGAGAGAAGTCTGCAGAGACAACCCAATCCCTTTGCAGGCATGCATTAAGCACCTGCCGAGTGCTGCCTCTGTGCCAGGATGAAACTATTTAGGATGTCTGGAAAGACGTTGGAGAGGACAGACGGACACCTACCTGAGAGCTGGGCGGGGCAACCAAATTGATTCCTGGAGGGGCTGCAAGAGCTCCTGAGGGTGGGCCCATGGCAGAAGTGATGACTCGATATGGAGAGCCCAGGGCATTGAGGGGGGTCCCCACTGCACTCAGAGTCCGTGGGGCACTCACTGGGGTGTCAGTGTAGCTGGGGTGGCTGTCCACGGGCTTCCCTGTGGACAAGGCTGCCGACGGGCTCATGGACGTGGAGCCAGAGTGGCCGGGGGAGCCTGTAAGGAGAAGACCAAAGGTGATGAGAGGCTATGGGAACACAGGGATGGCACACTAGGACAGAGCCCCCTCCTTTTGTTTCCTATATCCTTCCCCTCCTTCCAGCCACACCTGCACACCTGTGAACTCCCGCAGCTGGTAGAATAAAGGCAAGCAAAGAGCAGAGAGGGGAAAGGGCCTGCTGAAATACTCATTGATGTGCCAGTCCTCTGGTTCACCACATGACATTCACCTTGAATTGTGTCAGATCAACAGCCAGGGCCACAGGGGCATAGCCCACATGTCCCCAGGCTTGGGTGACTGTGACCTGAGCCAGCCAGACAGGGAAGGTGAGTCAATACCAAACCCCCAGTTGGGGGATGGAGTGAGCAGGTGTCCAGGCTGCTCCATAATTCCCTGCCTCAAATTCATATTGCCCTGAGAACTGGGGCAGGGCTGAACCTATAAAGTCGGGAGCAATTCATTCATTCATATGTAATGAACATCTATTAAGGTGCAGGAACTACGTCAGGTGCTAGGGATTCAGAAGCGAAGGGAACATAGCTCCTGCTGTCGGGAACACATTCCATAATGACCATGGGGAAGGCAGAGGCTGTTATCATGCCCTTGACTGCCAGTAGCTTTTGCAGCTTTATGACCATAAGGTTCCTGTCCTGCCAATCTCTTGGAAGGTTAATCACTGCTCACGGAAGAAGATTCAGGTTGCTTGGGCATGGCTCAATGGCCACAGAGGCCCAGGAAGGCAAGCGCAGCCAGGCCTGCCCAGAGTGTTTCTGCCTCCGGGGATAGGGAGCTGCGGCCACAAGTGTCTATGAAATGGGCTCTGGGCAGATGGCACCTGGTACCATTTTCCCCAGATAAGTTGAGCCCAAGTTTAGCTGCAACTCAAGATGAAAGAAAAGAAGGGTGCCCCACTGCCATCTCAGGAGCTTGGCATGGAACATTCTCTCCAGAAGAGAGGAGCTGTGAGCCTGAGCATCCGCAACAGCAGAGGAGAGACTGGGAAAATAACAGAGAAGCCCACCCTAAATCACAGTACCACTGCCCTGTGTGGCTGGCATTGCAAGAACAGATTCAAAGAAACCATGTGTTAGGCCCCACCACGGCACCCATGCTGTCCTCGTGGATGGGACATGAGAGGATTAAGGGGAGAGGTGGTCAGTAAGCATGGTTTGCTGGAGAAACCATCCAATTCTCTCCACTTTCTACTGGAGCCCAACACCACGCCAGGCAGATAGGATGCTGAAGGGAGTAAGTCACGTGCCTGACCTTAGGTGGTTCACTGTTGGTTCAAGGAATATCTCTTGAGTGCCTTCTACATGCAGAGAAGGCACTGCATGTCTTAAGCCTTTCGGAGACCTCAGTAGCACTGAGCGTAGTATTAGGAACAGAATTTAGGGAGGGAGGTGCTCTCTTCACATTCTGGAGGGAAGCGTGGAGCATCAGAGGTATAAATATGCATTTTTTTGCCGTATGTGGGCCTCTCACTGCTGTGGCCTCTCGCATTGTGGAGCACAGGCTCCGGACGAGCAGGCTCAACGGCCATGGCTCACGGGCCCAGCCGCTCCACGGCATGTGGGATCCTCCCAGACCGGGGCACGAACCCGTATCCCCTGCATCGGCAGGCGGACTCTCAACCACTGCGCCACCAGGGAAGCCCGCAACTATTCTTAATCATAAATGTCCCACTAGAAAAATGTCAACCTGGGGTTGCCCTTGGAGCATCTGCTAACTTAGTTAAGGTCTACTTATGGAGAGAACAGTCACTCCCATGTCTGAGGAGCCTGTGCCCTTCTAGTGAGTCTACCTAGGAGTTTCAGTCTATCGGGTGTCTTGTCTCATAAACAGATGAATCCCAATCATGATCTTTTAAGTACCACAACTGAGGTGAACCAAATGCTCTGGGTCCACAGAGAGGTGGTAAAGGGGTTTAAATGAACAAGTGAGACACTTCTTATGTGTCCTGAATAGGCAATTTCCATACATTAACTCATTTTATCCTGATAATAGGCCTATGAGGATCATCTCAGCCTTTTTTTTTTTGCGGTACGCGGGCCTCTCACTGTTGGGGCCTCTCCCGTTGCGGAGCACAGGCTCCAGACGCACAGGCTCAGCGGCCATGGCTCACAGGCCCAGCCGCTCCGTGGCATGTGGGATCTTCCCGGACCGGGGCACGAACCCGTGTCCCCTGCATCGGCAGGCGGACTCTCAACCACTGCGCCACCAGGGAAGCCCCTCATCTCAGCCTTTTACAGATGAGACCACTTAGGCTCAGTCTCACCCCCATGCTGCTCCCAGTTCCGGGATGACTCACCCCCACCTCCTTTGTCTAGCAAGTTCCGATTCATCTTTCAAGGTCTAACTCAAGTATCACCTCCTCCAGGAAGTCTTCCCTGGTATTCCTACTCTGGTTTAATGCCCTTTTCTGTTTTGTAAGTAACAGCTTGTGTACTTCCTTGTTCTTTTCACTAAATTGAGAGGGGGGGAAAAAGTGTCTGTTTATGTATCCTCACCACTAGCACTGTACCGGCATTAGCCGGGAAGTAAGCGGCAGAGCCTGGATTCAAACTGTCAATCTGAAGCCCGTGCTCTCTCCTGTGTGCTCTGTCAAGGATAGCAGAGATGATTCGGAGAGCCATCGTGTCACAAAGTACAAGGTAACGCAATTATGAAATGATCTCATGCTGAAAGTTCATCTGAAGAAGAGAGAAGAGGACACCTTCCAAGAACTCAAGACAGAAAAAACAAAACTCTTCCCAGACGGTCACTGATTAGAAAGAACAATTTTAGACTCTTCTGAGGGGCTGGAAGTCTGTGACATTTAAAGAGGCCAATGTACACCTTGAGCCTGTTACTAAGATAACATGTGACAGGTGAGTTAGGAGCCAGCCGGACTTGATGGGCAAGGAGCCGTGGACTCGGCTGGGATGACAGCTGTCCTTCCCCACAGCCAAGCCATCTGAGGGAAACCGGCTTTCCCTTCCAGCGTCGGCTTTCCAAAAATGGACCAAAGGGCCCTGCATATTCTGTTTTAATTGGATCTCAGAGACTATGCCTTTCATTTCTTTATCCCCAAGGTAAAGCCCAGTGCCTGACACCAGGCTCAGAGCTATGGGACAGACAGGAACAAGATTTTCCTTCACACATTCATCAACCTGAGAGTTCCCAAGGTGTGGAAACTGCAACACCAGTGGTAAGGGACATTTTAGGTCGTATTTTAAGCGGTATGTAGGCAAACTTTTTGAAAATATTAATAGTTTTGTATTCATTTTCACTGTCTCCTATTTACAGCAAGTGACTCTGCTTCCGTTTTTTATATAAAATGATGTTCCTCAAAACTGCTATTTAAGTTTTCAAAAGAAAAGTAAATTGACCTCAGAACACTTCTAAGTACAAGAACGCATGTTCGATATCATGAAAATAGTATGCACAGGTATGATGTTTAAGAAACATGAACTGTGCAAAATCTAAAAATATGGACTTGGGGAAATTCACAAATTGTTTCCAGAATAAAATGGTATGTGAGAGAGATTTGAAATTTAAAAGTACATTGTTTTTATTATATTTAATAATAATATAAATTAAGACAATCAGAATATGCCTTGACTACTCAGTGATGACAATGGTACATTGCTGAGATAGAATTAAACACAGTTAAAGTTTGATTTACAATGGCCTTTAAAATGTGGTTTGTTTCTGTTGAGTCAATGACCCAGAAGAGATGGGCTACTTTATAACCGTATTTTTTTAAGTAAAATTCCAAAAGACAAATACATCTTACACAAATGCATTTTGGTTCTTTGCCTCTCACAATGACCCAGCGTTTCTTAGAAATAAACATCTTGCTTTTAGAAAAGGTAGAAAACAATGCCTGTAATGACAAAAGTGTTTCTCAATGGAAAATTAATCCATTCTCCCAAATAGACTCTAAAGCATACCTGTCCATGACATTTTTATCAGCCTCTTTCGCTCTCACTCCTTTTTTTTTTCGTAGCCATGTGGGAATTACAGCTAGCACAAGTTTTCCAGAAACCTGGGTTCTAGTCCAAATCCAAAGTCAAGTTTTTCTCTAATGCTTCTCCCTGGCTCCTCTGCAGAGGCTGGGAGCCCAGTTCTCCAGCCTCTGCAGCCCATCAGCCTTGCTCGCTCCCTGACCACACACCCTCCTGATCTCCGTCAGCCCCTCACACCATGCCCACTGTCAGATGCCCGGGAAATACACAAAATCCGTACTCTGCAGAGTTCATTCTCTTAGCATAGCCATGATTTTTATAGAAATTAACTTGTCTGATGGGAGAGGACTTTCTCAGGGGCTTCTCTTCTCTCCTGGTGACATACTGAAGAAACGCCTTTCGTATTCCCGGGCCTTATTCTCCCCAGTAAGGAGCCAGCACCCAATGGCTTCTAAGATCCCTTCCAATGCTGTTCCATGGACATTGAGGTAGGTAGCATATGGCGCACTGGCATCTAAAAGAAGTGCAGGTGGTGGTCTGGAATGGTCTGAGTCTGGACCACTTGCCGAGGGGCCCCTGTCGTCATCAGCTGGACCATGTTGGCCCTTCAGGCTGTTTGGGATTCCAGATTGCACTTTGAGATGATGATAGTGTCACCAGGAAGCAAAGCTTTTTGGAAATCTGCAGGGTGCATACACTCTATTGATTTCCGAAGCCTTTGTGTGCATTGTATGGGCATTAGGGGTGCAGTCTATGTGGAAAACAAGCCTCTGAAGCCCAAAAGTCCTAGGTTGGATTGAGGTTGTACCACTTTGCAGTCACATAAACTTGAGCCAGGAACAGGACCTCTCTCATCCACAGTTTCCTCAGCCATAAATGGAGATATGCACACCTATCTCAGGGGTGCTAAGAGCATCTGAGACAACTGGCCCAGTGGTAGCAGCTGCAATTACTTACCATACTATAAAAGTGGTGAGGGAGACCTGAGTCTGGCTTGAATACCATCGTAGAATATTATGTAAGTAAAGGGTTTAACCCAAGCCATG